TGGTGAACTACCCCTCCGTGTGGCGTGGGCGGAGGAGGTGGGCGGGAGAGGGAAACCTCGCACGTTCTCTTCCCCGACGCTTCCTCAGTCCAGCAGATGAAGACAAAGCCGTGATTGGGTCGACCATCGGATCTCGGGCCAACACGTCAACAGGCTTTGACACTGCAGCGCCAAGTGCGGGTATCAATGGCAGATCATTTTGATTAGTATGCTATTCATTCGGCTCTCCCTCTCCCTCCCTCCCTCCCTCTCTCTCTCTCTCTCTCTCTCTCTCTCTCTCTCTCTCTCTCTCTCTCTCTCTCTCTCTCTCTCTCTCTCTCTCTCTCTCTCTCTCTCTCTCTCTCTCCCTCTTCTTTCCCTCCTCCCTCTTTCTTTCCCTCTCTCCCTCTTTCTTTCCTCTCTCCCTCTTTCTTTCCCTCTCTCCCTCTTTCTTTCCCTCTCTCCCTCTTTCTTTCCCTCTCTCCTCTTTCTTTCCCTCTCTCCCTCTTTCTTTCCCTCTCTCCCTCTTTCTTTCCCTCTCTCCCTCTTTCTTTCCCTCTCTCCCTCTTTCTTTCCCTCTCTCCCTCTTTCTTTCCCTCTCTCCCTCTTTCTTTCCCTCTCTCCCTCTTTCTTCCTCTCTCTCCTCTTTCTTTCCCTCTCTCCCTCTTTCTTTCCCTCTCTCCCTCTTCTCTTTCCCTCTCTCCCTCTTTCTTTCCCTCTCTCCCTCTTTCTTTCCCTCTCTCCCTCTTTCTTTCCCTCTCTCCCTCTTTCTTTCCCTCTCTCCCTCTTTCTTTCCCTCTCTCCCTCTTTCTTTCCCTCTCCCTCTTTCTTCTCCTCTCTCCCTCTTCTTTCTCTCTCCTCCCTCCTCCCTCCTCTCTCGCCCCTTTCTTTATCCCTCTCTTTCCTCTTTTCTTCTCCTTTTCTCCCTCTCCCTCTCATCAGCCTGCCATTCACACGACCCGCCCTCCCTCACCGCCTCCCCCACAACCAACACCTCGGTCCACCCACGCCTTGCATCGGAGCCCCCGCCCGCGCGCCCGATCTGTCAGCGGCGGAACCAACCCCCGCCCGAGCAGCACACAGCGCGAAGGGGACGGCGACTCACGACGGGCCGAGGGAAGGTGCCGGGGAAATGTTCCGCGGGAGGGAAAGGGGAACTGTCACGGCTCCCTTGCCCCTTCATCTCTTCTTCCTCCTCCTCCTCTCCCTTGTTTCTTCTTCCTTCTTCCCCTTCTCCTTCCTCATCCCTTCTTCCCTTTTCCACTCCTCCATCCTTCTTTCCTGTCTTCCGTTACCCTCTTCTCCTTCCTCCTCCTTCTCCTCCACCCTTCTTCCCCCTTTCCCCCTCCTCTTCCCTCCTTCTCCCTTCTTCCCGTTCCTCCTCCTCCCCCTTCTTCCCTCTCCTTTCCCAACCCTTGTTCCTTCGTCCTCCTCCCACCCTCCTTTCCCTCCGCCTCTCCTTCTTCCCGCAACAATCAGTCACTAGTGCGACGATATTGAGGTCCGTTGCCTCCTCTCTCCTCTCCTCTTTTTCCTTTTCGGTCTCCTCCTACTCCTCCTCCTCCTCGTTTTCCTCCTTCATCGTTTCCTCTTTTTCCTTCTTCACTCCACCCCCGTATGTCTGACAGCGAGGCATAGCAAAGAACCCTATTACTCGCCACGGTACCGGATGCTGTGCAAAATAAAGAAGGGAGGGAGGGAGGGAGAGAGGAGGACGGAGGTGGGCAGAGGGGGAGTGGAGAGAGTAGAGAGAGAGATGGGGAAGAGGAGAGAGAGAGGGGGGAGGAGAGGAGAGAGGGGGGAGAGAGAGAGAGAGAGAGGGGGGAGAGGAGAGAGAGAGAGGAGGGAAGAGGAAGAGAGAAGAGGGGAGAGGAGGAGGGGGGGGGAAAAGGAAGAGAGAGATGGGGGGGAGAGGAAGAGAGAGGGGGAGAGGAGAGAGAGGGAGAGAAGGGGAAGGGGGAGAGGGAGAAGGGAGGAGGGGGGAGGAGAG